AGATACTACAAACTAAATTAAATCATGTAGGCAGGGCTTCTACAAATGAATGAGAGTTAGTACAAAAAGGTCATACAAAAAGTTCCTGTTGAATGCTTGCAAAATTGAGAGAAAATTAAACGTTTTTTTCTTCTTCTTTTATTTAATCTTTAAATATAATTGTATAAGATGTTATACAAGATGTATATGACCTCTTTGTATGTGCTTTTCTATGCACTAAATGTTCCTGGGCTTTATTAATGTTCTCATACTTAAAGTTGCAAGTGCGCAGCATTGCATTGAATTCCAATGTATTTGAACAGATTACATGACAAGTAAGTAATAGATAAGATCACTTATATAGATAAGAAATACATATATAGATAGATAAGTAATGATATGTGTGTGTGTGTGTGTGTGTGTGTGTGTGTGTGTGTGTCACATGGAACATTCCACTAAGTCCAGCTCCAGGCCTGCTGACAGTCAGATGTGCAGTTCTTTCCATTCTAATAAAGTACACCACTAGATGGAGCAAAAAGTGTACAAAAGACTCCAGAATCACAGGAACCAGCACTCAAGAATTCAACTGAACATTTCCCATTAAAATAACATTAATCAGGCATGCCTCCCCAGTAAAATAATTAAAAAAAATACTTAAATGTTAATGTGCAGTAAAAAGTCAGCCCATGTTAATACAAAACATGAGCAAATATGACCATTTTTACCCAAAAATAATCAGTCAGAAAGTGTTTGTGAGTGAGAGTGACTATCTGTCAACTTATTGTAAAGGAGGCCAAACTGCTTTTAGAGAGAGGAGTTCCTCCTCTGAGCCTGAATGACTTTTACAACAACAGGTTTCCGCTCATTTCTCTCCTCTATTCGGTTAGGCACAAAGCTGAGTGTGAGGCAGTGCTTTTCCTGCTCTGAATGGGCTGAGAGTGAGAAATGTCATGTTAAACTGACCTCAGATCAGTGGAAACAGAGAAGCGCTCATGGCTGGTGCAGAGTTTAGTTGCTATGCTGCCATAGACCTCACCCCAAGAACTTTTGTTGCTCACTGGACAAATTATGTTTTGTGATCCATAATGGCAGACCGTTCGAGGCAGTGAAATGATCGGAGTAAAATTTCAAGGATTCCTATTTGGTCTGTTAAGAAAAACAAAATTGTGTGTGTGTGTTTGTGAGAATGGGGGATGAAGGGGGTTGGCATAGAAAGTTGTGATTGTATAATTAATGTGTGTGTGTGTGTGCATGTGTGTCCGTGTGTATGGAAGTGAGCATGTATGGGTGAGAGTGTTTGTGTGTGAAAGACCACACCAGCTACATTGAACATTAGACAAAGTGATTGATGATGTCCACCAGTCTCCCAAGCACAGATGCATTCTGTACTGGCAATCTAGACTATTAGAGTTCAGGAAGTGTCTCAACCATTAAACAGCCCCTGTATATTCACTTAAAACTGCCAAGAGGATGGAAAAGCCAAGAGGGAAAAATGCATTCTGCTTTTTTTTCCATCAGTTGGCTCAAATCGTGAACCATATCTGGAGATAGAGCTATTCAGTTTAGACGCCTGCTAAATTTTTCCATGACGGTTGAATAAAGGTTTCCACTCTGTATGTCCAAATGATTGCTCTACTGGTGATACTCTGAAGTTTTTACAGTCTCTACTATAGAGTCGTTAAAATGTATATGAAGTAATATATTTTTTTTTATTGTATTTAATTATTGGAAAATATTTTAATTACTATAAGCTCTATAGGTTTAATTAAACCTGAAGGAGAGAGAAAAGACCACTGTATATTTCAGAATGGGGTGGAGCTTCTGTCCTCACAGACTCCCATGAGTTGGTGATTCAGAATGGGAGTGTCTTCAAATGCTATGATATGTTTGTTTACAGGCTGACTACTCCTCTCCATCACACACACACAGTGTCCTGTCTGTGTTTTATTTTTTCTTCATGTTCACCTTGCATTGGTTTGCTTTATGGGCTTATAAAACCCTCTTAATTTCCTGTTTTTTTTTTTTTAACTACTCTTAGTCTTCATTCATTTTGTGGAATATCCAAAGTTTACAGATCACATAATTTGCTAAGCAAATTCAGTTCAGTGAACAAGCAGCACAGAATGTACTGTACATTATCATTTGAGTAACAGTGAGTTCTCAGCATTGTTTTCTTGTTTCTGTCATTACATTATCAATATATTATAAAAAATTAATTATTGATTTTACTCTTCATATTTGACACTCTATTTTCATCTTTATTTAATCTATCTAATTTATTTAATTAGAGGGCTGAAATAATGTAATTTTTATACTATTTGTATAACAAATGACTAATTAATAAGAGATCATTAAGACATTCATTTTACAAAAGATCTCAACGTGTACAAGCTGATCAGTCTAAAGAGAATAATTTGTTGTTCAGGTGTCATTGTACCCCATAAGAGTCAGAATCACCTTACACACACTCAGTCAGAAGAGGGCCACATCCACAATGAACAGGATCTTTTGGGATTTCTTTTGTTTTCCACTCACTCACAAAGAAAAGGCATGAATGTATCAAATCAGGTCTAGAGAAGTGAAGAGAGTTTGTTTAATGATGACTAATATTTCTTCATTTTTTTTTTTTCGAAAATGAAGATGAACTTACACTTCCTGCTCTAGAGAGATCACTTACTTTCAGTAAAGAGAATAAGAGGGGGAGAGATGGAGTGAGTCATTAAAAGGCCCACACAGAATATGAGTGCAAAGGTTATTTTCACAGAATTTCCCTGTTCTACACATTGTGTATGCAAATTTTTTTTGGCTCATTTTAAAATATTTTAATCTCTGTTTAATACATTTCTTCATACTGAAATATTTTGCACAAATTTTCCCCACAAATAGTGCAGAAGTTTCCATGCGGGCCTAGTCATTAAAATCAATGGCTGAGCAAAAATATGATGAATATACACTACCAGTCAAAAGTTTTTTTTTTAATATTATTTTAGAAAAAAAGAGTACACGTAGTGTAGTGACAAAAATACCCAGATAAACCTATATTTTTGTCTCTTAAAAGTACACATTTATATTAAATCCATACAGAATCATTTTAAACATTTAAACCTTTATAAAACGTTTTTTTCAGATCATAAAAAACATACATTCAGGTTAGTGTGTCCAAACCTCTAAATGTAATTAAAGGTAACCAGGCTTTCATAATATATTGACCCAATGTAACTAGACTGCAATTTTTGAATTATTCCTGCACCATTTTCAAGTTAAACATATCTTAATCCAAACCAATTAAACCAGTGCTTGATCTTTTTGAGCACTTTGATTTCATGCTCTCAACTGTCTCAAGACCGTTCACAATGATGTTTATGCAAATTTTTATTTAATTTGTACAAATAAGCTCTTTTGCACTACTAATCATTATATCTGCACTGTTGTTACTTCACTGGTTTGCACTCTATCTGCCATGTGCCTTGTGCCTTGTGCTGCTTTATATATTTTTTTACATTTTACCTTATTTGTATAGTTGTATTTTATATTTAATCTGTATCTATCTGTATTTATGTTCTACTGTTAGTGTTATCTGTATGCACCAAGGGTCTGAGAGTAACGCAATTTCAATTTTCTGTGTGTATGTGCTGTACATGTGGAAGAATTGACAATAAAGCAGACTTGACTTGACTTGGCTTGACTTGACTTACAGCAATGGAAAACAGAGTCAGACTGAAAGTCCATACCGTCATATCACACCACTTCAACATAAATCCATGAACACACGAGTACATATATTGAAACAATGTAAAGGCATTTGAGATCACTCCTAACACCCATAAAACCACATCAACTCCCCACAGAGCGGAAAGAGTGGGTGGCACTGCCAACTAAAGGCGTAAAGGTATACCTGTACTGAAGTCATGCCACAGGATCGAATGCAAGAACAGTGTGAGTGAAAGCATGACACAGGTTTTAGCAGTGGGTTGTGGTGGGAAGTGCTATAATTAAAGTAAAATATCATTTTTGGTTTTATATTATTTGTACATGTAGTTAGGCTATTATTAATACTGAGAATAAATGAAATATTTGTAGGCCTACTTGTATATTTGTTAAACTGCAGGATAATTTGGATCATTTATTTTGGCTAAATTAAAAAGAACATAAAATGTTATATGTGAACTAACCATTTAGAGACACACTCTGTCACGGACCCACATACAGGCAGTCACACATTAAAGTAAAAGTATACATACAATTAGCTCTAAGAACAACTCGGAAACCTGTGTACAATACCACTGTTTTTCCAACCGTTCCTGAGAACCTTTGATGTCACACACAGAACAGTCTGTGCAGTGCTGCTTCAAGTCCAACACCTATTGTGTTTTATTAGGAGATGCACAACAGTTCTTCTGTGGCTTTATAGGTAATATTTTCACGTACACAATTTAGCAAAATCAGACAATATTGTGTGTAATGTATACCACAATATTAACTTCTTATTATTGAATTGTTGCATTTGCAATTGGTCAGTGTTCAAAAAATGCTGGGAAATCACTTCATGTAGCCCTACAAGAGTGATTACTGAAACTGTCTGTAAAAAAGAAAGTCACGTTTTAGAGAAGAAAAAAATCACCCACTGACTTTCAAAGCTGCTGCATAGTAACAACTTTCTACTTCGCGGACCTTGATAGAAATGTAGTGGAGTGAAAAGTACAATATTTGTCTTTCAAATGTAGTGAAGTTAAAGTCATAAGTTCCCAGAAAAAATAATACTCAAGTAAAGTACCAATACTCAAAAAGTGTACTTAAGTACAATACTCAAGTAAATGTACTTAGTTACTGTCCGCCTCTGCTGGACACTCAATGCTGTGATACTGAGGTGCTGCAATACCACACAGATGTCTAGCTCTTTGTTCGCGTGTGGTGCAGGTGAGCACGTGCCAGCGCACAGCACAACCTGTTGATCTCTATGGAGGCAGGCAGCAGGAGTTCTGCGCATGCGTGAGCGCCTTGCGTCCTGCATCACCTCGCTATATGAGACCGGGCGCGGATACAGATGCAGTTTTCTTGAACAGCCGCACAAATGGATGGAACCGAAACGAACCGGAGAAACTGCGCGAAAACGGAGCAACAGAAGATGTTAGACTCCGGAGGAAACCAAAGTGGATCTAAGGACAGAGTGACTCTCAAAAAAGAAATTGGTCTTTTGAGCGCGTGCGCCATAATTATAGGTGAGATGTTTCCTTATTTTTAATATGCCACCGCGTGCGCTCTAACCAGCTTCAACTTTCTCTTGGCATGTTCCTTTGTCTGTCATTTTATCACTCTCTGTTTCTCTTTCTGCTATATATCTTCAGCCCTCACTCTTTCATATTCCTAATCTTTAATGATAACATTCCACATCTGCTATCAGAAATGTGCTTCGCTCTAAATGTCGAGCGTTTGTGGTGAAAAATAAAGTATTATAAACTAGGTCTCAAAACTTATATCGTCACACTGTACGGCTGTCTTACTTTAAGAGCGTCTCGTGCCATGCCTCGACTTACAGTAGTCTCCATCAGACTGTTCATCAGCGCTTGGATTGCATCATTGAGGAAGAGAAACGGGCTGAAACTCAACTCCGCGCTTACGTGGCTACAACCCACTACACTGTGTCCTTCACGTGCCCTGAACAAACCCACCATATAAGACTCCATTGCTATATACACTGCAGTGGAAAATATAGAATTAAAGTAGGCGGAAGTGTAGACTTTCGTGCAGACTAAGCAAAATCGTACTGCAAACACAAATGTCTCGTGTTATGGATGTCATCTATCTGTAGGATTACACACACTGCAAGATGTAAATGTTCTCTGTAGTCAGTAAATCATGGTATAAGATTAAATGAGTGACAATTCAGATTCAGATTTTCTTATGTAGGCTACCGTATATAGCATCCTCAAAATTAAACACAAGTAAAAAGAACTTTAGACAACATTTTTATCCTTATATTAACCTTTTATATATATACAGTGTTGGGGGTAATATATTACAAGTAACGCAAGCCAGATTTAAAAAGTAATGCAAAAGTAACGTAACGCATTACTTTCCATACAAAGTAACTAAGTAACGTAATTAGTTACTTTTTTATGGAGTAACGCAAGATTGTAATGCATTACTTTTAAAAGTAACTTTCCCCAACACTGTATATACTGTATATACACCTTATAACCTTTTATTAGTGTGCTAGGCACATCCATCCAATGAATAATACTCAGTGTGTATGTATATTCAATGTATACAATACATTTGACAGTGTTTTAATGTAAACTGTTCATTGAAATGTGAGCTGATGATCTTCAATAAAACAGCACGAGATATTTTGTTGTTCAGATGAAGGTCATCTAATGGAAGCGTTAAAAAGATTGACACTATGCCTTTGTATTTTGTTCATTTAATTTGTAATGTGTTGTGTCTCTCATAACAGTGATATTTGGCTGTTCTTCCTGAAGCCTTATATCAGCCCTATAGTATCAAGGAGATTAGTAGTCACACTTTTTACTCCAGCAAATATTTTTCTGCATATTTTTATTTTTTAAAGTCAGTTTCAATATAGGAACGTTCTTTAAAGAATTAGATAGAAAAAAAAGCTAATGTAGGTTTCCACCCGGGATAAAAGGTACAGTTCACACGAGGTTTTACTTTTTATAGAGATATATAAACAAGATTAAGGGGATTAAGGTTAAGATTAAGATATAATGTTAACTGTTTGATTATGGCCTTGCTCTTACTGTAGTACAATCAGGTGAAAGTGGTTCCTTTTTTGAGGTTGGTTTCCCTGTGGAACATCAACATACAGGTGCAGCTGTAGATTTCAGTTATGTTTATGGTTTAGTGGCTTTACGGGTAAGGCTGACCATGGGAAAGTTTCTCTGTTCTAGAATGTCCTCCTGATATTACTCAAGATCAATGACAAATTTGATCTGTTACTTAACACATTTTTTTTTGCCAGTGTAGTTTATTTTCTTCATTAAGTAATGTGGACACAGTGAAACCTCATTTACCCTTATCAATTCTTTAGAGTTAAACTTTAATTAAATTAGTGGTTGACTGAAATTAGTTTGTCAATAGCCGATGCCAATACCCATATCTAGAAAGCAGAGTAACAAATGGCCTGAAATCATGATGATATACACCGCAATTTAATGACAGCAAATGACATGAACACTATATTTAGACAGTATTTACTTAAAGTTGACAAAGTTTTAAGATAACAAAAAATGATTAAATATCCAGTGACAACACTGTTGGTAAATTTTGGAACTGACACAAGGCAAGAGATGGAAAGTAACTAATTTCAAATACTTTTGTACATCTTTCAGTTTTTTCTACTTTCTTGAGTAAAATTGAATTGTACTTTTACTTTTACTTGAGTTGAATAAAACTCAAGTATTCAACTTCACTATTTAAAATTTTCACCAAAGTAGAAATTACAAAAAAAGCTGTCATTTGACGGGCACTTTTCAAACTACTGGGGTGGAGCCCTGAGCTTCAGGCAAAAACAGACAGGTCTGACTCGTATGGAAGAATAATCTGGACTATTTTTAAAAGGAACTGCAAATAGTTTTTTTCAAATGTGGACGTATAAATAGTGACACAATCCAAATTCAATTCTTGCTTTACCATTTGCGTTTTCACTCTCTAACCTGACAAAACACAAATAGAATCGCAATTCTTCTTGTAAAATGGACATCCCTTACGCAAAGAAAATATATTTCCTAATATATGAATGAGCAATATATTAAACAACATAATGGTATATTAAAAATTATACAGAATAATATATTGTGTAAATATATTACAATATATTTAATAATACATAAGGAATTGCAGCTTTTCATATATTGAAAAATATGTGACAATATATTTACTCGTATATCACAATATATGTAATTTTATATTCAGTAATATACTTTATAATATATAGATAAAATATGGTACTGCATATGTAAAAATATATTAAACATATTTACTCATGCAGTATATACACACATATATGGAAATATATAGTTCTTATATTTAACAATCATTTATGACATACATGTTTCATATTTTAAAATATAGCTAGTTTACAATAGCATAAGCACACCCCCTCATACTAAACACTTAGTGAACAGACTATCACTGTGCTGAACAGTGCACTACCATTACTTTTGAAATAAAGTAACATATGTGACCCTGGACCACAAAACCAGTCATAAGGGTCAATTTTTCAAAATTGAGATTTATACATCTTTTGAAAGCTGCATAAAGAAGCTTTCCATTGCTTTATGGTTTGTTAGGATAGGACAATATTTGGCCGAGATACAACTATTTGAATATCTGGAATCTGAGGGTGCAAAAAAATCAAAATATAGAGAAAATCACCTTTAAAGTTGTCCAAATGAAGTTCTTAGCAATGCATATTACTAATCAAAAATTAAGTTTTAATATATTTACAGTAGGAAATTTACAAAATATCTTCATGGAACATGATCTTTACTTAATATCCTAATGATTTTTGGCATAAAAGAAAAATCTATAATTTTGACCCATACAATGTATTGTTGGCTATTTCTACAAATATACCCCAGCGATTTAAGACTGGTTTTGTGCTCTAGGGTCACATATAATTTAATGGTGTTTGGCCAATCGTCATCCTGATCACATGCTTTACTCTTCTGCACAATGGTGACCTCACAAACTTACACATACTAGAAACACTTTTACATTTCAAAATAATATAACATTAAATACTAACAGATATCCCCCTATATTAATATTGAGCAAAAACACATGAAATAACACTTAGTTTTAACATTTTTACTCTCCTTTAACAGTCAGAAGCAAAGCATGCTGGGAACTAGAAATCTGCTGTAACTCATTCAGTGAATGTGTGCATATGTGTGTACATACATTCACATTTATATGGAAACATCTATGTGCAATATACTCAATAAAGGATCAAACAATGAATATTTTTGTCTTCATTTCTAAATATATTTGTATGTATCAATATATATAGTCATATATTGTCAATGCATATATTGCTGTATATTGAAAAATATAAGCACTAGTTTCCAATATATGGAAATGTATTGTGTAATATATCGCATTATATTTTGCAGTATATTACCATATATTTTTGTTTCGTAAGGGATTGCATGAAAATATTTAATGCTTCATAATGCTCACATCGCCTCGTTTTAGGTAAAAATAGATAATGCAGTAACTTGAGTAGTTTTTCAGCAAACTACTTGTTTACTCTTACTTTAGTCATATTTTTCAGTACTTTTACTTGTACTCAAGTCAAATTTTTCCTTAAGTAGCAATATTTGAACTTGAGTACAATTTTTTAGTATTCTTTCCACCACTGCACAAGGCGGAGTTAATACTTCTGTAAATCAGCCAAGCGGACATTGTTTTGTTATGCTGTGAGTTGCATGACCAGTCAGAGTCAAGTGTGGTGTAGTGTGACCCCATGAACTTTATTCAGGAGCTTTGAGCCTCATTTGACTGAGTGTTTTTGAGATGCGCTGGGCTCTGTCTCATCAACTTCATTGCCTTATTCTCTATGCAGTTCTTCTGAGGCGCTGGAAGCAAACATTCACATCCACTCACAATACTACCAAATTCTATTTCATGTGAACACCCGCAGACAAAGAGAGAACCCCAAAAGGATTACATAATGCTTCGGCCCATAGCTGTGGCTGAGCCTCATATACTTGAAACTCTTTCGTTTAAGTTTCCTGAGGCATAATCATTCAGGCACTGCATATGCTCTGGGTGGCGTGACTAAGATGTATATGCAGTGATGCAGAACATTTACCTTTTTCTGAATACTGGACTCTCATCTCAGATTTCGCAACTGATGTTGACTCTAACATTGTTGATCTTATTTTTCGTGTCTGTTTGCCTGGAATGTGCAGCAGCGTTTTGACAGCTGCGAGAACAGATCTTTTAGAACACATTGTCTTGCACTGAAAAAAACCCAACAAGATTGCAGCATCATTAAAATCTCAGTTAAATATTCCCATGCACTTTGTGCAAATAAACTCTTTAAAATGCTCTAATTGGAGAAAATGGCAATAAGATTTTGTATGTCTGTTTATTTCTGATACAGAAAACCAATCATGCCCTGAGGCGAAGGGCTCAAAATTCAGTCCAGTAATGTAGTTTTATTTTAGACTGAACAATATATGAAGACTAAACAACCCATTGCTTATTCTTTTGTTTTTGACAGGCAACATCATTGGCTCAGGGATCTTCATCTCTCCAAAGGGGGTTCTAGATCATGCAGGCAGTGTGGGGTTCTCACTCATCGTGTGGGTTCTAGGAGGAGGGATCTGTGCCTTGGGATCTCTTTGCTATGCCGAGTTGGGTGTCACCATCCCCAAATCAGGTGGAGACTACTCATACGTCACTGAGATCTTCGGGGGACTGGTGGGGTAGGTCTATTGTTGCCCTCCAGAGCATTCATGTATAATAATAATAATAATAAACTTTATTTTCTATAGCATCTTTAAAAGGTACATCTCAAAGCACTATACACAGAATAAAAAGAGGTAAAATAAAAATAATGGCAATAATAATAAGAATAATAACATTTAAAAAAAATCAAAATAAACATCATACACATGACACAAAGAAATCACTTAAAAGCTATTCTGAAAAAGTAGGTTTTAAGAACAGATTTGAAAACACTAAAAGATTCAGCCTGTCTCAAACAGTAGAGCATGGCACTAACAATGCCAAGGTCATTGGTTCGATTCCCAAGAAATGCATGAACAGATGCAATATTGCTTTGGAAGAAAGTGTCAAATACCTAAATATCAATGTGGATGTCTCAGTTTGTGGGAACTTCTCCTTGGGGAGATTCACATGTGTTTTACTTGCTCGCTCAGATGCAACACTAACTGTTTTGTATTGGTGATGATAAAGATGGCCATTTGTTTATGTTTTCACAGGTTCTTGTTGCTGTGGAGTGCTGTGTTGATCATGTACCCAACAACTCTGGCTGTCAGTTTCAAACTTGCAGAGCAGGTTTAGGCAAAGTGTCTGTTTTAGGACAAATGCCCCATTTGGTTTGGCTTTTGCAATTTTTGCAACGGAATACAGAGTAGGCTATTACATACAATATAATATGGTTTTGTTTTTTTCTCAGGAGAGATGAGGCACCTCTGAGAGACAGACAAAGAAACTGGCTGAAAGAGACGCGCGTCTGCCAGAGAAACAAAAACTTTTGTTCTTAATTTATATGCTGCTTTGTACTGTTTTAATTGTACGCGGCAACGCTGCAGTCGTTTTGGCAATACAAATGTAAAAGTATATTGCAGTAATAAACTGTCCCGAGACTTCATGTAGGCCTAATCATTTTTAGTTTCATTATTGGGCAATTCCAAGAATGGAGAAGGGTTGACCATTCACAAAACATAATTTCCATTTTTGTGTTTCAGAGGAAAATCTGTTAAGGATGTGACATCTCTCCATTATGGACCGTTCTGAAAGCAGAATTTATGCAAACGCATATAAAATGCTTTAAAAACTTCAACAGAGATGTCTAGAGGATATTTAATAGGGCTGGCCCCCACGTAAGATTTTTCTAGTTACTAGTAGTCGTTCATTTAAGTCATTATTCAACTAATCACACGTTTATATTAAATTAACACAGTCTACTAATCCATGATGAGCCTTAATATATTCCGCAGCAAGCACACGCATTAAGTTTGCCACAAAGCACAGGCAGAAGTAGCCTAATAATTGTGAAAAATTGTGAGACATTTTAATTATTTATTAATAAACTAATGTTCTCTTGTTGGCTGCAAGATTAAATTCACGGTGCTAACTCTCATCTCCACAGTAGCCTACTGGGCACCTTTAGAAAGAAATGCAACCTTCACAGATTACATAATCGGAGTATTTGCTTTCGTTTTGAATTGGTTCCTTTAAAAGTAGACATTTCAAGCTTTCTGTACATTTCTGCACCCCAATTTTAAGTTATTTCATTATCAGGTAAAAATTAAAGTGATCACGCAGGCGCCTCCCTGTCATGCATTCGCATTAATAATTTTCAGCAAAAACACTTGCATATGAATAGTAATAGAGCACATTTCTTTTAAGTTAAAGTATGGGATCCACATTAAAAATAAATCTTCACAAGTTTACAACCGAGACAGATGCAGTTATAACCTGAAAATTGAAGGCTATTTGACGTTTTAAAATGATCTAACGGACGATGCCGCTTCAATTCGTTGATCATTAGTTGTTCTTGATCAAGATTAAATGGATGTATGACTCTCATAAACTTGTTTTAATAAATCTCTTCTGCATTAAATAAAAAAGATAAAAAAACATGTTAAGTTAAATATTAATGTACAAATAATTCAAAAATGCTATAGACTGCGAATAATATTGCAGTTTTACATTTTGCATATGCATTACCAAGTGAATTATTTTTTACATGCAACGATACAAAGTAAAACCAAACAAGATTTGTAATGAAGAAAAAATATGTACACAAACAAGAATAAATGATGTAACCCCACAGCACATTTCTTGCACGTTGCACTCAGCATCATGGGCGCCGCACAAATCTTGCACTCTGGTATTTTAACGAATAGAATACACTCCTGCATTTAAATGCTGCTGCTATTTTTTTTTTTTGGAGTTTTACTTAAATTGTATGAAAGCGAGTAAAGAAGGCTCCCTTTAAATCACTTAAGTTGACAATTAATGAAGCTCTTTTTTACATCATGTGCACTTTGTCGATTACAATGAGAGAACTTGAGTTTAAACGCGAGGACGTTTTATCCGTCCCTTCTTTTCAGTTTCAATGATTTAGCTAAATCGTGGCCAGGTTTAATTTATTCGTTTCTTGTTTTAGTTAGGCCTAAATAATGAAAGTGACATAATACAGTGCCTCGCGTTTTACTAAAATAAAGGAAAGAATTCATAAAACACGCAACAATTTCTTAATGAGTGTATATATAGGCCTATCTTTTTCCCAAGCAGTTCTCTGTTATTCGTTACCTGTCCTTTATTTTGACAAAGTATGTGCGTGACAAAAATGCATGCTGTTTTATTAAAGGAATTTTAAAATATTAATTAAAAATGTACTTGTGACAAATATTAAGTAATGTGAGAATATTGACATTTTGCATATAAATCCACATATGTAGCCTAGCCTACTAAAATAGGCTATCACTTTTAATGCTCCGATGCAAAGTAAACCACCATTTCTTTAGGATAATATAACACATGATTCATATTATATAAATAATACTGCACACCTGTTAAATGTTTCAAATCTAAAATATGGTGTAATATTGTGTAACTTAGAGTAAATATAAGCACAGGCTCATAGGCTTGACATTTATCCTGCTTGAATTCGTTCTAAGAAACGCAAATAACTTCGTAAGTACTAAATTTTCATCTGTGAATATCAAATATTTGAACTACAGTGTTTTTCTTTCATTTTCCGCTGACTGCAGCCGTCAAATGTAACATATCGGCAAGGCAAAGCTGACGGCTATTTGCGAAAATGTGCTTTGGATGCGTTCACTTGATAACTTGTGGTTAAAGCACCACTCAGCGGTCAAAAGCTGCAAATGCACTTTCCAGACGCGGTGGCGGCGATGCCTACGGCGGTAAAAAGCTCATTCTGGTTGGCCACCTACTGTATAATAACTTTCGTTTATAAATCATTAACAAACATTATATAATGCTTAACAGATCATTAGTTAATATATATTCTCATAGCTAGAAATATGAGATAATGTTCTTGTTAATGTTTACTAACGAACTTACTAAACATTACCTAATGATTAACATATATGACCCTGGACCACAAAACCAGTCATAAGGGTCAATTTTTCAAAATTGAGATTTATACATCTTTTGAAAGCTGCATAAAGAAGCTTTCCATTGCTTTATGGTTTGTTAGGATAGGACAATATTTGGCCGAGATACAACTATTTGAATATCTGGAATCTGAGGGTGCAAAAAAATCAAAATATAGAGAAAATCACCTTTAAAGTTGTCCAAATGAAGTTCTTAGCAATGCATATTACTAATCAAAAATTAAGTTTTAATATATTTACAGTAGGAAATTTACAAAATATCTTCATGGAACATGATCTTTACTTAATATCCTAATGATTTTTGGCATAAAAGAAAAATCTATAATTTTGACCCATACAATGTATTTTTGGCTATTTCTACAAATATACCCCAGCGATTTAAGACTGGTTTTGTGCTCTAGGGTCACATATAATTTAATGGTGTTTGGCCAATCGTCATCCTGATCACATGCTTTACTCTTCTGCACAATGGTGACCTCACAAACTTACACATACTAGAAACACTTTTACATTTCAAAATAATATAACATTAAATACTAACAGATATCCCCCTATATTAATATTGAGCAAAAACACATGAAATAACACTTAGTTTTAACATTTTTACTCTCCTTTAACAGTCAGAAGCAAAGCATGCTGGGAACTAGAAATCTGCTGTAACTCATTCAGTGAATGTGTGCATATGTGTGTACATACATTCACATTTATATGGAAACATCTATGTGCAATATACTCAATAAAGGATCAAACAATGAATATTTTTGTCTTCATTTCTAAATATATTTGTATGTATCAATATATATAGTCATATATTGTCAATGCATATATTGCTGTATATTGAAAAATATAAGCACTAGTTTCCAATATATGGAAATGTATTGTGTAATATATCGCATTATATTTTGCAGTATATTACCATATATTTTTGTTTCGTAAGGGATTGCATGAAAATATTTAATGCTTCATAATGCTCACATCGCCTCGTTTTAGGTAAAAATAGATAATGCAGTAACTTGAGTAGTTTTTCAGCAAACTACTTGTTTACTCTTACTTTAGTCATATTTTTCAGTACTTTTACTTGTACTCAAGTCAAATTTTTCCTTAAGTAGCAATATTTGAACTTGAGTACAATTTTTTAGTATTCTTTCCACCACTGCACAAGGCGGAGTTAATACTTCTGTAAATCAGCCAAGCGGACATTGTTTTGTTATGCTGTGAGTTGCATGACCAGTCAGAGTCAAGTGTGGTGTAGTGTGACCCCATGAACTTTATTCAGGAGCTTTGAGCCTCATTTGACTGAGTGTTTTTGAGATGCGCTGGGCTCTGTCTCATCAACTTCATTGCCTTATTCTCTATGCAGTTCTTCTGAGGCGCTGGAAGCAAACATTCACATCCACTCACAATACTACCAAATTCTATTTCATGTGAACACCCGCAGACAAAGAGAGAACCCCAAAAGGATTACATAATGCTTCGGCCCATAGCTGTGGCTGAGCCTCATATACTTGAAACTCTTTCGTTTAAGTTTCCTGAGGCATAATCATTCAGGCACTGCATATGCTCTGGGTGGCGTGACTAAGATGTATATGCAGTGATGCAGAACATTTACCTTTTTCTGAATACTGGACTCTCATCTCAGATTTCGCAACTGATGTTGACTCTAACATTGTTGATCTTATTTTTCGTGTCTGTTTGCCTGGAATGTGCAGCAGCGTTTTGACAGCTGCGAGAACAGATCTTTTAGAACACATTGTCTTGCACTGAAAAAAACCCAACAAGATTGCAGCATCATTAAAATCTCAGTTAAATATTCCCATGCACTTTGTGCAAATAAACTCTTTAAAATGCTCTAATTGGAGAAAATGGCAATAAGATTTTGTATGTCTGTTTATTTCTGATACAGAAAACCAATCATGCCCTGAGGCGAAGGGCTCAAAATTCAGTCCAGTAATGTAGTTTTATTTTAGACTGAACAATATATGAAGACTAAACAACCCATTGCTTATTCTTTTGTTTTTGACAGGCAACATCATTGGCTCAGGGATCTTCATCTCTCCAAAGGGGGTTCTAGATCATGCAGGCAGTGTGGGGTTCTCACTCATCGTGTGGGTTCTAGGAGGAGGGATCTGTGCCTTGGGATCTCTTTGCTATGCCGAGTTGGGTGTCACCATCCCCAAATCAGGTGGAGACTACTCATACGTCACTGAGATCTTCGGGGGACTGGTGGGGTAGGTCTATTGTTGCCCTCCAGAGCATTCATGTATAATAATAATAATAATAAACTTTATTTTCTATAGCATCTTTAAAAGGTACATCTCAAAGCACTATACACAGAATAAAAAGAGGTAAAATAAAAATAATGGCAATAATAATAAGAATAATAACATTTAAAAAAAATCAAAATAAACATCATACACATGACACAAAGAAATCACTTAAAAGCTATTCTGAAAAAGTAGGTTTTAAGAACAGATTTGAAAACACTAAAAGATTCAGCCTGTCTCAAACAGTAGAGCATGGCACTAACAATGCCAAGGTCATTGGTTCGATTCCCAAGAAATGCATGAACAGATGCAATATTGCTTTGGAAGAAAGTGTCAAATACCTAAATATCAATGTGGATGTCTCAGTTTGTGGGAACTTCTCCTTGGGGAGATTCACATGTGTTTTACTTGCTCGCTCAGATGCAACACTAACTGTTTTGTATTGGTGATGATAAAGATGGCCATTTGTTTATGTTTTCACAGGTTCTTGTTGCTGTGGAGTGCTGTGTTGATCATGTACCCAACAACTCTGGCTGTGATTGCGCTCACCTTCTCCAACTATGTGCTGCAGCCTGCCTTCCCTGACTGTCTGCCTCCATACATCGCCACCCGGCTCCTCTCAACCACCTGTGTCTGTGAGTAAAGCACACAACATTAGTAATAATGCAGTCTTCTGCTTTAGCAGGTCAGCTCTGATTTGGTACTACTGTCTTATGATGACTGCTTAATTAAAATTTTCTAGATATAGCAAATCACTATATACCGTATAAATGCAGTGAATACTAGGGATGCACCGTTATTAAAATTTTGTCTGATAGTTAATAGTCTGATAAAAAAAAAACATAAAAATATAAAATTACTGGTTTTAAATGAAAAAAAAATGATACTTGAAGATTTCCTGAAGATTACGTGTAATCGATCCATCCACTCATTTTCCAAACCACTTATCCTCTGTAGGGTTGTGGGGATTGTTATTAAATTGTTAGTGTTTTTAAAGAGGCTCTTTAGTGAGTATTTGATGACAGCAAAGGTAATCTTAATGTAAAAATAGAGGTAATGAGCATTAACAATTATATATCCAATATCCATCAATGCTGTTAAATTAAAAAACCTTTAATATGGTGTCGACATACTGTATAGTGCACCCCTAGTGCATTCACAATTGAATTCTGACTTTTAGACATAGTCATGATGAGTCTACTTTGTCCTTCATTCTGTCTTTCTCTCTTTCTCAATCACTCCCTTGTATGTATATATACCACTTCAATCTTGATCCTAGTACTTAACCCTGGTGGGCACGTGGCAGGATATTTTTGGAGCTGGTGGAGATAAACCAGTCAAATGTATGTCTATGCGTGTGTGTGTATGTGTGTTTGATTCAGAAGAGCCCCGTGACTCAGCTAGTTTGGACCTGTCAGATCTGGACAGGGTCTCCTAGGAAGGAGTACTGGGGGTGTGTCAAACTGAGGGCAGTGGTCCTAATGACAGTGCTGGCTGAGTTGAGCCATCCATCCCTATTTTTGGCAGCAGAATCCAGAATCTGTCCTGATGAACAGCCAACGAAAGCTTTGAGTCAGACATACTCCAAAGAGCACAGTGACGAGGCCAGTGGCTCTATTTAAGGAAGACACCTCATGTATGTGCCCTATCAAAGGATGCTAGACCTGCATCCCAAATCACTGCGCTTGGGGTTGGTATCGATGTCATGGTATTAGGGCACCTGACCCTCAGGCTGTGTGGCGTCAGACTCCGTAATGGTGCCAGGCTTTGAGCCGGCGGAACATGTGCGCGTCTCCTCTGTATTGTGTATTGTTTGGGGACCTTGCGGTTGCCCTAGTTACCCCAATGCTCTTTGATGGACAAGAGCATAGAGGCGGGACTTTGTGAATGCTGCTAAAATGCCGTTAAACCTGACAAATGAGTAAATTATGTTCTTTTGATAAGCTGCTTGGAGTGTGTGAGTCATGCTTAGGAAGGGCACATTTATAACGCACACCCTCCCACTGTCTGCCATTAACCTTTAGACCAAGTAAATACCCTGAAATAAGATGAGACATTCAAACACCTCAGGAAAACACCTAAGGTCTTCATACACTTAGCACTGATTTTTCACATACGGTTTCCACAAAAATGCCCCTTGCATTGTAAAAATAATGGCTCCCTTTCAGTTCACAGTTGGAATGTGAATTGAAGTGGGCATGCCCACAGCAAATTTGTTTTGTATAATGACATGAGATTTATTGGATTGCAACTAACACAAGTAACACAAAAGTTATAACTACACAAAAGTAACTACGGTAATTTTTAATAATAAAATCTAAAATAAATATTGACAGCACTATTTGTGAATTGGTGGGAAATTAAGTGTTCTTTCACCATTCTCTAAAAAAATGAAAGATATTTGATTAAATATAATGTATATCAAATGCAATGGCAAATACAACAATTGATTATTGAAATTCAGGAACATGCTCTGTAAATACACAACCCTAGCTTGTACATAATTTTTTCTAGCTGTCTGTGTTGATGCAGCAATGGATATTTTTAATGGTAAACTGATGCATTTGGAAACCTTTGCATGAACCCCTAGTTATGTGCGAGTGAGTGTTCTTAGTTGCACTGTGTGAGAATTTGTCTATATTGCACCATGTGTTACATTTGCCCTCCCCTTCTGAATGTTCTGAATGAATGTCACAAGCTCTGTCTGCTGCAGTCAGATTACACACAGAGAGATACCCACACACACACACACACACAGCTCCTGCTGGTCTGGACACACAAACAAACACAGAGACCTTTGCAGAGCATCTAACCTGCATTAACCTGCATAATTCAACTCAACTCAATCTCTCATTTGACTTGGAAAAAAGACGTGTGCCACATTACATTTTTAGAACTGTATCTTTAATGACAGGTAGTTTACTGTTCTAATGCTTTGTACCTTTTTATTGGTTTATGAGTGTGTGGAAAGCTTCTTCTGTAAAGGCCACACACTCCAGAGATTGAAAGATCAGTTCATGTGACTCAGCTCTTGTTGCTCATGTATGCAATATTATTTCAAAAACATTTATAAATATATAAATCCTGCCTAAGAAGTGAAGAGACAATAGAAAATCAAAATACCATCAAATAGATTAAATAAAACAATGCTTTTTCAAGCATTTTTAAGAAGTTCCCACATATACTGGTCACTTCATTTTTTTTTTTTAATAAATGTATTTTTTTTAAATAAAACTGTTTAAAAAGCCTGCCAATTTCAACACTGAGTAAACATGAAAAACACTTATTTCAGGCTTTGGCCACAGAGGGTTGTAGTGTTTTGCACATTTTTGTGTATTTAGTGCATCTTTTGTTGGCTTTATCGGTCAATTAGCTGCAGAGGGATGCCCCTCTCAGGGGTTTGAAGTGAGTGGTTGTATTTTGGCAGATTTAAAGGCTGTTAGCACTTCATTAGAATTCTCCTCTCATTAGCTTTGTGTTAATTTAACTTCATTTGGCCACCCTTAGTCACTTCTGCACTGTGATACAAAACAAGAAGGAGTTGGATTCAGATCCGTTAAAGCCAAACAAGAGGAAACAAAACTCATGGCAAACACTGTAGTGCTCTGAAACCTATCGTATAAAATGGATAACACCTGTCACCACATTATTATTATTAATTATACGTGCATACAAAAAGTCATACAAGTTTAGAACAACATGAGAACAATATTCTTGGGTGAACTATCTCTTATATAAGTTGCTATGTTGCCTGGCTACCGTAAACTGGCCAAATTGGCAATTCAGATTATTATTACTAATAAATGTAACTATGACTTGAACATTGTGGCTTTGATCATACTTCTATATCTGTTATTTTAAGGTGCCTAAGAACACCTAAACCTGTGGAAAAAATCACAGTGACTCTTGAGGCATATTGCTTTAATCACATTGAACCAAGAAAGAACCATTGTAATACAATCAACATATGAATAATTTTTTTTCTGAAAAAATATGAAAAATACATTTGGATGCACTCTGGATGCAGGTGTGTAGGTTTATTGTTTGTTTTTACCTGAGTTGTACTTTTATCTTAGTTAAGGACTGCGGTACTATCTTCAAGAAATAAGATTCACTGAATGCTGTCTGGGCATGAAGGTTGACAGGTGGTGTGTATTGAGCTCAGGATCACACGAGCTGATGAAGTTGTGCAGGTTAGCTGTTAGTTTGCAGGCCATGAGTCGCTCTTGTCGACTGCCTACTCTTGCCAAAAATTCAGCTGGCGTCTGGGCCGTTTTGTTGTGGGGCATCGGAAGCTGTTTGTCTAGGGGGGTCTGACAGATGCCCCGCATGTGTTTGCGTGTGTGGGCGGGTAATTCCGGCCATTGATGGATGAGTGTGGGTAACCCGACTCCCCTTTGCCCAGTGTCTCCCTCGGCATGCCTGGGTATACTGTGCCATCAAGCCCTGGAGACGGACCTCTATGTACCGGATCTACACCGGAGCTGTTACACAATGCGGCTCAACACAGAAGCCACTAACCTCAAACACAGATGTACAGACAAGCAATGGCCTCTAACGCCTGTACTTCCGTCTGTGAATGTATAGTGTAGTCTCAAATCAATCGTATCAATCTATGGTTACCTTACAGGTATCCAAGTAGAGTGATATGAGGTAACTATTATACCTCTGCACTAAAATTGACTTCGGTTAGAGAAGTAGCTGTCAGCCTTTTGACTCCAAGGCCCTCCATTGTTTACAACAATATTTGAAGACCTGACACTTCTAGTTTCTGTAAATTGCATTTTGAGGATTCCTAAAGTTTTAAAAGCTGCATGTTTTTCAAGGCTCCCATTCTTTTTAACCAATGAATTTGCATTATTTTTCAAGTCATTAGTGATTTACAATTTTTACCTGATGAAATATTTTAGAGCTTGACAAGCATAACTATAAACATCCTCCCACATTCAACTGCTTTTATTTCCAGCAAATTTCTTTACATGTGTAAAAAAAGAGTTCAACAACTGAGACGTAAACTGAATTCAAGTCTCGCAAGCATTTGATAAACAGAAATGGATTAACGAGTCAAAATTGGCAGTGAGTATCTGGTGTGGCCACTAGCTACTTTAACTACTACAGTGTATCTCATCCTCATGGACTGCACAAAATTTTCCAGTTCTTGCTGTGAGATGTTACCCACTCTTCCAACAAGCCATTTGGATACACATGGTTTTCCACTGCAAAGACGATTAGCTGATCTTCCTGTCTTATGCATTGTACATTACAGACATTGCAGTTTATTTATTCAGACAAAAATAAAGTTGCAGAGAAGTTGAAATAAAATAAGAATTTTAGTTGTTTTAGCTGATTTTAATGTGTACTTTGTCTTATTTTAAATTATTCAATTATCTTGAGGTTCCCTTGGAAGTTTGCTGAGTGGGCCCCAGCCGTTAGTCGAGAACCACTTAGCCATGAATGGGTTAGTGTTTTGCCTGCAGCAGTAAAATAAGTTACATCTGATCTTTATTTCCCCTCTTTAAACTAATAAAAATGGACCATGTGACCAGTTAGTGCTGCTCTGCCAACAAAATCACACTGCTTCCATTGCTGTGTCACAACCTGATTCGTCCCCATGACACTTAAGAGTTTTGTTAAAACATCTAAAAAAAAAGTACAACTGAGTTTGGAATATGTGAATGAATAACTGTGTGTTCACTGTGTGTGTTTACAGTGTTCCTGACTTGGGTGAACTGCTCCAGTGTGCGCTGGGGGACACGGATCCAGGATATTTTCACTGTGGGGAAACTGCTAGCCCTTGTCCTCATCATTATAGTGGGAATGATGCAGATTGCCAAAGGTGTGTCAATTACACTTTACACTTGTGTTCTTGCCAGCCGTTGTCTTAAATTAAACATGCTACTCTATCTGAAAAAACTAAGTCTGTGCTGTCTAACATTAAAATCGATGCAGTATGTAAGCATCTTAAATGATATAAATGTGCAGTGACATTAATTATTAAACATTAACTGTATCACAATTCTATACTGTATTGATTTTCTCTTCCCTTTCAGTTGATAGGCCAAACTGTAGCACCGATAAGCAATGTAACGTGTTTCCTGAACAAAGTGTGCATATGTACAGATGCATTCAGTCCAAAATATGATGGGAAAAAAACTTTATATATTCCCAATGATATTGCTAAGTATGTAACCCACAGAAGCAGACAGTGAAGTTAAGAGATAAAAGTAAAAAATAAGCAATAGGCAAAGTAGAGAAAGGAGAAGAGTTTGATAAACTCACATCTGTGAATAATTCCCACAGTTGAATGCCATGAATCATCAAACACTCCCAACATTAAAGCCAGCTGCTGTCAGCCTAAACAGACCAGTTGCCTGTTATATAATGAATAAAAAGCAAAAGATTCACCTTGAGTGGGCACAGTCCACTGAAATAATCCAGTAAACAAACAAATAATAGGCTATTTTGAAAAAGAGAGAAACCCATCTAAACTCATCTCTTCTAAAGCTTAAACCCTCTTTGAATATGCTAACATCTCATGAATAAATAAAAATTCTGTCATTATTAACTCTCCCTGATGTTGTTTATTCTTCTGCAGGTTTTGGGGAAAACCATTCCTTTAACTCCAATTTTTTTCAATAGTGACATCTAGTGGTAGATCTTGTATTATGTGTTATGAAGCAGGGGTGCATTGCTTAAAGGGGTCATATGATGCGAAGAGAGAGAGAGAGAGAGAGAAAGAGAGAGAGAGAAAGAGAGAGAAAGAGAGAGAGAGCTGTTGACTGTTCAAATACGAGAGAGCGAGAGAGAGCGCGAGAGAGTGAGAGAGAGAGAGAGAGAAGAGGACCTACAATAATGTACAGTATTTGAAAAATAATGTGTTTTTTTAACATTAAAGCATGTCAACATATTCTGTTACACCAAATACACAAAATAATGATCTTTAAAAAAGCATCATATGACCCCTTTAAAAGCATCGTTAGCTAACTATGGCTGTTAATTCCATTGAATTCTACTGGTGAAGATGGAACTTGCGACCATAGTTGCTTTCAGGGAATCGCACCCCTGATACTTACTTGTTCAAAGTGATTTACTCCCTGCAGTTAAGTGCTTTGCTTAAGGGCACAATAAAATCACCTCATCTAAAACTTGAACCAATGACCTTTAGGGCTGCACTACACAACTTTTAAAATCTAAACAGACAGATATCAGACATCATACACTTGCCGACTTTGGAAATGGCTACAGAGTAAGGTGACCAGACGTGCCACTTCCCAGGGACACGTTCTGCACAGGATTTCTAAATTGCCTAAAATAACCAGGTGTTGGTTGTTTTCGCTGTGCCGATTGATCGTTGTATGACATCAAAGTAATGTCTGCTCTTCTCTCTAGCTCTTGCGGTTTGATGTCATACAATGATCGATCGACGCAGTGCAAACAATTTAGAAATCCTGTGCAGAACGTGTCACCTTACTACAGAGAAAAACTGGACACCATGCACTACACAACTACCAGAATTTCAAGTTGTTCCAAACTGCAAAAGTTGTGTATTGCATTCCAGCCTTTAGAAAACTCACTATTAAAACCTTTATTTTGCATTATCTAATTGGTTCAAACTTACAGTCATCGGAATGAACTTTAGTTAATTGAATCAGAAACTGTTAGCTTATTAAGATGTTTTGATAGTGTTGCAATACATTATAAAGCTGACTCATTTACTTTAGGCAGTTCACAAACAAACTAAGATAAGACTGTAGCAAAATGGCAATTTTAGCCACAATTTGCAGAATAGTTTTAACGATGTGAACTTTGTGTGACTTTTTAAACAACTGAGTGCTGTTACAATAAAGCAGTGGTGCTTTGTCATGCTCTGTTGTGTACTGTCCTGGGTCTAGAGTTGCAGGTAATGGCTATGACCTATTATGGGAAGATTTTACTTTTTATTTAGCGAGCTTGTCTGGAGGCATTCCCTGAACTGATAAGAGAAAGAATTGAGTAAACGAGAGAGCTAAGCAGTGCAGTTTCACACTTGAGTGACAGGAGAGAGAAAGGCTTTTTGGAGGCTTTGAGTATCTAGTGGAATAATGAAATTAAATTGTTGACACTTGAGTGTCAAGATGAATATGAACAGATTATTCCCAAGAGCATCTGAAATATACAGCGTTTTATGCTACAGGTACAACCCTGAGGTCAAAAGCATATTTTCTGTTTTTTCTCTCTAGGACACTATGATGCATTGGAGCCCCAGACAGCGTTTGAGTTCATAAAGGATCCATCAGTGGGGCAGATTGCTCTGGCCTTCCTGCAGGCCTCATTTGCCTACAGTGGATGGAACTTCCTGAACTACGTCACTGAAGAGGTGGTTGAGCCTCGCAAGTAAGTCTTTTAAAGTCTATGTCACAATCATGGCCGGCCCATCTAACAGGCAATAGAGGCAGACGCCTGGGGCCCCAATGTGCCTGGGGGGCCTGGCGAGGAGATGTACGTGTTTTAGTATGGTTACTACAGAGTAAATACATTTGCTGCACAGCATAGTGCACAAACAGGAACGCATGCATGGACCTTGTTTAACACACAAACCACAGTGACCGTAAGCCTATGTAAAAGAAGCTTTCAATCACCAAATTGCAAATAACTGACAAATACCTTCAATCACCAAGTGACAATAAATACAGCAACCGTATAAATAAAAGCAGCCACTAGTGAAACAAAAAATTATTGTAATCTGCATAATATATTCATGTCGCGTAGCTTCAAGTACCGTATTGTTCACAGATTCCAAACCAGCCTCAAAAGTGCTCAAGTTGTCGGAAATGCACAAAATAGGTCACAGAAAGGATTACTTCGTGGCCATTTGAGATGCTTTCTGTGTTTCAAGCACGTTTGGATGGCAGAAACAGAGCTTCTGTTGCCAAAGACTAGTCATGTTTTCTCAAGAATAATCTGGGCAACAAATTAAAAGACAGTCAACAAAAAGATGCAAAAACTCTGAGCAAAAATGTTGCCAATTAATCTGGACATTAACCAATCTGCTCTCTTAAGAGGTATGTGTACATATTCATTACTTATATTTAAAGGGGTCATATGATGCGATTTCAATTTTTCCTTTCTCTTTGGAGTGTTACAAGCTCTTGGTGCATAAAGAAGATCTGTAAAGTTGCAAAGACTAAAGTCTCAAATCCAAACTAAACTCTGCAGGACACCGGCCCTCCAGGACCGAGTTTGGACAGCCCTGGTTTATTAGTTATTAGTGTATATATGTAGGACCTATGTAAATTAATTCTTTTATTTTTACCTACTTGATTTTCACTGATTTTAAACTTCAGTTCAGTTTTGCCCCACTATAAATAGTTCTGCCCCACTTTTTGGCTACACGTTTTACGTATATTTATTCTGCTACAGGAATGTACTTAAATGAAAATCTGTTATTTTACATCTACTATACAGTGTTGTTATTGGTAACTAAAACTACTAAAATTAGAACTTAAGAGCCTTAGATACTAACTGAAATAAGTTGAAGTAAAATTACTTATAAATTGATATAATATAAAAATGATAGTAAAATAATACTGTTTCATATCAAACATGTTGGTACTGCCAAGGCACCTTCTCTTGAACTAAAAGTATGCATTATAGTATGTACATAACAAATGCTACTTAAAATAAAATACCTTAGGTAACTCTTACAGCATATATTTTATGGTGTGGTTTCTATTCTAGGAACCTTCCACGTGCAATCTACATCTCCATCCCCCTGGTGACGCTCGTCTATACTCTCACCAACATTGCGTACTTCTCCTCCATGTCCCCTCAAGAGCTGCTGGAGTCGAACGCTGTCGCTGTGGTGAGTTTCTCTGATCTCTTCTGGCTTATTCTGCTAAAACAACGTACCATCTATTAGGTGCTTTGATAAATTAGCATCTGTTTTTTGTGTGTTGTGTTGCAGACATTTGGAGAGAAGCTGCTTGGAGTGTTCTCCTGGGTGATGCCCATCTCTGTGGCTCTTTCCACCTTTGGAGGGATCAACGGATACTTGTTTACATCTTCTAGGTAAAGAAACATTTGAGTATAAACTAGCCTAATACAGCAACCCTTAAAACTTCAAACTAAAACTGGCTTCATTGTCCATCCTCCACAGGTTGTGTTTCTCAGGCGCCAGAGAGGGTCACCTGCCCTACCTGCTGGCTATGATCCACCTTAAGAGCTGCACACCAATCCCTGCCCTACTCGTTTGTGTGAGAGAGAAAGAGCTATTCGCACACACAGCACATGCAACACAACACTGCTTTCAGTCTGCATGATTTGGTTGATCTGATTCAGGTCTAAATGGGGTCCAGAATGTTTTGTGTACAGATCACACAAACCACATTTAGAGGTAATAGAAAATTCATGTGATTGTATTGAGTTTGTTGTATAAACACTAGCTAATCTGTCCTGTTGTGTTCCGGACAACAGTAAAGGACCGCCTACTCACCTGTCAGTCAACCACAGTAGTAAAACAGGGTTTAAACATTGCTAGTTATGTGCCCCTTTTACAAGAAAATAACTGTCCAGTTGAAACATTTGGGAAAAGCCTGTTTATACTTAACAGATTTGCTTGACATCAACATTCAATGACTCAGATCAAGCACATTTAAAGATCGATTAAAGATTAAAGATTGATTAGATTTAAAGAGAGATTAAAATATGTCCCAAAACATCGTTTATGGTGAGAGTATGATTTAAAAGTACTTTTGGAAGTATATATATATATATATATATATATAATTTTTTTTTTTGTACTTTTTGATCATTATTAGCATTACATACAATACAATACATACATTACATATATCTTTAAATACAACAAATATCCTTGATTCTGGTACAGAACATTAAATATCTAAAATGTACCATAAAGTACAAATGCACCACATATTTGAAACATTCATGCTTCCATTCTCTATTAAGATACCTCATTTAAAAAAAGCAATAAATAAATAAATAATGCACAAGCACTTATATTTAATTTTATAACTTTTTTTGAGATATATATATATATATATATATATATAATTTTTTTTTTTGTACTTTTTGATTCACATAAGACAAGTGGTTCTCAATCAGGACTTGTATTAAACATCAAATATAATTAGCTAAAAAAGTCAATATTTAAACTGAGATTCATATTTTCCCCCTCAATAACAATGTTTTTATCAAAGAACTTTAGAATTAGAATCTTAAATATTCTGGAATCACAAAATTAATCTTGGTTAATTAAATAAATAATCATTAGCTATGTTTCCATTTATTTAACTTGTGCAGGAAAATTTGAATATTGCATAAATCATTTGCAAATAAAGCACTGTTTCCATCTCATTTGTTCAAAAGAACAGATTTGTCACTTTCTTGGAAACTTGTGCAAAGTATCAATATAAGTTGCTGCAAACAGGGAGGCCTATGGGTCATATTTCCTGTATAAGAGGTGATTATACCAAATCATTTGGATGATAGACTTTGGTTATCAATAATTTCAAAATTATTAAAATAACATTTGAGATGGTGTACGAAGAGATCAGTGTGCTTGTTAGTTCAGTTATCCAATCACGTGATCTGTGGAAGCAAAGTCACATGACATTTTTTGTTGCGCATCAAGGAATCTATTCGGTGAATTTGTTTCCATCGTTGTTTTTTCACAATGGTGGAAACACATCTCATTGGATAAAGAAATTATCCGCCTAAATTGAGAACTTACACATTTTTTTGGACATTTTACGATTTTATGCGCATATTGGCATTTCCATTCCTTGCTGTTTCCAGTTTTTTAAGCAATATCTTAAAATTTGCATAAAAATACCTGGATGGGTTGAAAATGTCAGAATTACATAAGAAATACCAGAAAAAATATCTATTGCCAATATGGGCCTTCGAATATTGTGTTGGACAGTGGGGGCCTTTGAGTCAAAACGATTGAGAACTGAAGCATACAACATGTCCTTCTCTCTTGTTCTCCATAGTGTACAGCGACCATACTGATCCTGTGCATCGGGGACACACATAACCTGATAAACTACGTGTCATTTATAAACTACCTCTCATATGGAGTCACTATAGCTGGGCTGCTGTACTACAGATGGAAGAAACCCAAACTGGTCCGACCCATCAAGGTACTTCAATCGCCACCTACAGACCTCATCAGGAAGATTGATTTAGATTGACTGGTCAGTGTTCAGGTGGTATTCACCTCCCTCTTCTTCTCTAACTTCGCGCAGGTAAACTTGTTGGTCCCTTGCAGCTATCTAGTGTTCTGGGCAGTGTTACTGGGCTTCAGTCTGTACTCAGAGCCAGTGGTGTGTGGTATGGGGCTGGTGATCATGCTCACTGGAGTCCCCATCTACTTCATTGGAGTGCAGTGGAAGAACAAACCACACTGGATTTCCAGTGCTGTGGGTGAGTAAGACCAACCAAAACTGCTTTGCATTGTTTTGTTAGCACTCTGCAATGAAAAACCATCTGACATCTGTAAATGTACGTGTTTTTCAGAGAGAGTCACCTATCTGGGGCAGAAGTTGTGTTATGTGGTCTTCCCTCAGGATGATCCCTCTGAAATACAGCCTCTTACAGAGAAATCAGAGCTGTGAGCGGCAGAGGACTTCTCGCACTCCTTTTTGGAATAGCAAAGACCTGTTTTCCATCCGTTCTTGAGTGTTTTCCTTGTCTGATGCTGTGCGTGAGGAGATGCTCTCCAGAAGCTCCTCTGAGACTCAGCCATCACAGCAGAAGAAACAGAAGTTTTATGTTTTCTTGCTCAGACATCACATTTCTTAGTTGTAACTGTTCTCCCCTCACATACATTTGTTCGGACATCATCTTGTTATTGAACGCACCCTCCTCCTGTCCTGTCGGAGATGACTTCCCTTGACCTCTTCATGTTTTCTCTGGGAGTTGTTCAATTTTTGAGAACTGTTGGTGTATTCTCATGTGCCTTACAGGATCTCGTTCTGTTTTTGAGGTTTTTATCTTTAGACTTTTTTTTATTAGTAATCCCCCTGTAAGTGAGCAGAAGGGGGACTTGTTGAAGCCTGTTTACCTCTTAACCCAGTCTGATATCTAAACTCCATTTGTGAGTATGAATTTTTTCACCTAGAGGATTAGGCCTTGTCCTCTAGTCCTCCTAATAATTACTGACTCCCTCAAGCAAAAAAGTAGTAACGTATAGCTGCGCTCAAAATGTCTATGCAAGAATAGTCTAGGCACTTTAATATACTTGCAAATTTTTAGCTCATATTGCACGATAAACTTAGTGCCTTGCTTCCTGGATAAGCAACAATCTCCTGCCACTGTTTAACAGAGGCTCTGCCCCAGAACTTATAGCACTGCCAATCTCTTAGCCTTATGCTAATGATAGGAACCATGGGATGTTCCAAGTTCATTCTTCTCAGATAACGTTATTTACATAAAAGGTGATTTACATTTTTAAAAAATCCTCTTAGCCAGACACTTTCAACTTTTGTTCAAAAAGGAGATGAATGCCTTTAGATAACCAAGGCATTTGTCTATTTTGACTGGGATGCATTTATTTTGGGCACTGACCATGGACATTCCACTGAGCTATGCAACAGCGATAATATCCATTTCTTCGTTTTAAACTGACCACCAAACCACCAAAGTCCGTCAAACATATTTTGAGAGTTTGGATCTGAAGGAGTTGTGATTAGCGATTTTGCACTTGAACGTCACTTGAGCGCCCTCTTCTGGTTAGATCTTTCTTGACGCCCAATCACAACCTTTATGAACACCCCAGTGCTCTTCTCTTTCCATGGGTCCAACTCAGTGTCTCTCAGACCAGCAGTGTTCATGCTCACACGGCCCACAGCGGCACGGTACGTTGAAATTCACAGCACAGTGAACTCTTACTGTAAATATTGCATAAAGTTTAAAATACATCAGGGATTAATTGTGAGATCGCATTCCTGACATATGTTCATATTGTATGCACTATAGATATTCGGGGTGTAACGATACACGTATTCGTATTGAACCGTTCGGTAGGCTGCGAGGCTTTCGGTTCGGTAAGCTAGGGTGACCATATGTGCCATTTTCCCAGGACGCGTTTTGTTTTGGCTTTGTTTTCCTGTTTTCATGCTTGCTTAAGGTAATGATCGAAAAGCAGTTTGACCAATAACATGCAAGCATTGTACATAATGGACCAATCATGGCGTGTGAGAAGGTGATCTACGGTCTAAGCGATGCAATTACGCGTACATAGGTGTGTTCGACATAAAAGCAGTGCGGCTCAGACCGATCAGTGTTTGATATCGAAGTACCTCGAGAGCGTTTCGAAAGCATAACCGTCTGTATGGTACTTTGATGTCATACACCGATCGGTCTGCACACGCAAACAAAGCCAAAACCTTGATATTTTAGGCAATATAGAAATCCTAGCCAGGACGCGTCCTGGAAAAATGGCACGTATGGTCACCCTAGGTAAGCATTACAAACCGAACGATTCGTTGGACTAATCCTATTACATATAGAAAATAAAAGAGCTTAAAGTGTGTGAAATATAATGTTCTCAGTGCCACTGCGCTCAACAATGAAGCCCAAGACGTAACAGGCAACGTGATGCCCAGTGGCGTAGCGGTACGGCCCCGCGATAACTCCCCGTGCTGGATTGCGTCGGAAGACGATGAACTTGTATCGACGATAGCCAGAAATATTGTCAAAAACATCAATTATTGGCAATATTAAGAGGATTTGGCGTTTCCAATTAATGTAGGCCTGTTACATTCTTATTTTTATTAGGCCTATTATTAAGTTACTTTTATTATTAAATTAAAATAACAATTAATTGGCCCCGCAATATATTACCGCATAACTGACGCGCTGCGAGGATAACAAAATACTATTTACCCTTCAATTAAAATGTTTAAAAAAAAAAAAGTATTTTAAAGCAGGTCTATAGACCTATAGGCTACAATGAATTTCTATAATTAAAATGTAGGCTATAGGCCTATAATTAAAATATTAACTCAGCAGTCATCAATAAAAATTCATGAATAAAAAGCTTTAGCCTATTTCAAGCACCAACTTTCAAAAACAACATGTTTAACACGAAATACGTTTCTTGTCTTTTTTTCACTATGCTATGTACGGCCACAAGAGGAATGTTAAGGGAATAAAAACAGTTAGGCTAGCTATATACCGTTATCACTAGGCCTACATGTTGAAGTAGATTAATCTTGTAATTAACCAAATGGTCTCTCGTCGTGTCTGAGAGAATATGCGTCAGATGCCGAAAGCTCCGTCATTACTCCATCATTCCGTTTTTACTTTCACTTTCTGTATAGGAATTGACTGAGATTAAGACGTTCACCGGCATAACTCTTGCACAAAGTTTGCACGTTGCTTGTGTGATATAAATTGGCTCGCCTTCATGGTTTAAAACAGAAATATTTCCAACATTGCGACGTAACCAATTACCCCCGTACCGAACCGTGACACCACTGTGTCGTATCGAACCGAACCGTGAATTTTGTGAACCGTTACACCCCTAATAGATATGTATGCTGATATACTTGTGTTTTGTAAAAAAAAAAAAAAAAAATGTTAAAAGGTGTTTATCAATAACAATATTAGCACATTAAATTTAATTCTGGAAAAGGTCGCAAGTAATTGTGTGTTGTGTTTGAGTAAAGACAAGGCTGCATTTGTCAGCCACATATGTCATTGAGTCTGCCTCATTTCAGAAAAGTAGCCATTATATTGCAGATAAGAAATTATGAAATGAGACATTCCCAGACAGAAATGACCATGGAGAACTAAATATACTAACAGTATAAGTATCCTATCTGTTTAGTAATCTTAATACATTTAACAGGAAGTATCTGTTATACGGCCACTGATCAATATATTGCATACATTAGGGAAGATTAGGCTTATGAATGACTACACTTCATCCAGATAACAATAAGTTAGTCTGAATATAACGAAGAAATGTGCGTTTAATGAAATGCTTCAAAACCTTTTCAAACATGTAGCAACCTTGACCATTACTAGCCATACACAACCAGATTGTAAGGTGAAAAAAATACATGTTAAACATATTTACAAAATATGTTCAAGGCAACCATAGACTGCAATGAAAATTAAAGAGTGAAAATGAGAAGTCAGTCTAGGACAGTGGTTCTCAACCAGGGGGCCTCAGTAAACTTCCAAGAGGGGCACGGGATGACTTACAATTATTTAAATGAACTATGTTAAAGCAACTTAATTAAAATGCAAAAAAAACAACAAATCAAAATATTAATTTTCCTTCCTCAACTATTGTTTTCAAGAACATATAATTCTTCAAAACTTTTGTAAACACAAAATTAATCATGGTGAATTATTGTGGTTAAATATTGTGTTGGACAATGGGTGGCCTTCGAGTCAAAAAGGTTAAGAACCACTGGTCTAGGATTTCAAGCTGCTGGCCGAATAACCCTAAAAGACTTTATTTGGCATGTGTTGATTGATCTCTTCTATTGGATTTTACTTGAATTTCACAGAACATAAAGGACACTATTACAAAATGTCAAATAAGTAATGATGGATGCCGCAAGTAAAGTCTCTTAGCAGTGCTTTAATCTTCAGCCATTTCAACTGAACCCAAAAAAAATGACAAAACAGAAAGTGCATGACCTCTCTAATGGCACTGAATCTAAAGGCTTCACAATGTATTAAAACATCTGCGATTCTATAAAATCTGTCAATCTCTGAAATGGCACATTCTTAAACCTATGGGATCAGACAAGAGATCCTCCAGTCAGAACATGGAGAATGGAAATGTGTGAAATAACAGGCAGTTAGCCAGCAGACAGAATGAACGGAAGGAACAGACTGACCCTTCATGAGAACAGAAGGAACAGACTGACCCTTCATGAGATGGGACCAGCTTTTTAGTTTGATAGGTTCTTATTTCCAAGCTTGGACCAGGACCAAGTGTGCTAAAGCAGCAAGTGTGACTTGCACTGAGGATGTACTACATTTATTAACAGAACATACATACATTCATGGATATGGAAGCAACATAATTTTACTGGCAAATAAGTCTCTCAAGTACCAAATGCATGAATGAAATTATAATGGCTGATATGAAAAACAAAGACACCAACGTGTGAGCGCTCAAGCACAAATGTGATTACTGAGTCATTTCCCCACGACTCTGTGATGTCCTGATGGCTTCAGAACTCAACTGAGGCAGCAGTACTTCTCAGTACACCTAGACTACAGCTGTTAACAAGGAAATCCAGGTTAACTGCTTCTCTTTCATGAACCATTATACAATCCCTGAGTTCTGCTTCCCTTCAAGAAAGACTTGCTGTCTTTTGCATGGGGAAAAAGCTTCTTAACATTAATTAATGTCAGTGGTGGACCTGCCATGATATTACAGTCTGGTATCCAGACTAACAAAACAAACATTAAATACAAAAAGCTCATATAGATCATCACTAAATCAACAAACAGCTCCAGTAGTCTGAGGGTATAAAACTGTACGCTACCATTCAAATGTTTGGGGTCAGTAAATTTTTTTTTAAAGAAATCAATTCTTTTATTTAGCAAGAATGCATTAAATCACAGAAAATATTAAGCAGCACAACTGATAATAAAAAACGATTATTGAGCAGCAAATATATGAATGATTTCTGAAGGATCATGTGACACTGAAAAATCAGCTTTGACATCACAGAAGTAAATTACTTTTGAAAATATGTTAAAGTAGAAAACAGCAGTTTTAAATTCTAATAATATTTCACAATATTACTGTTCCCTTTCATGGGAACTTCGAACTGCGTCCTCTAGGGGCCGCTATGGGGAACGCCTCGTCGTGACCCGTGTCTGAAGCATACATTGAAAAAACACCAACTCGTTGGCTGGCGACAGCCATGACGTCACTCGCAGTGTCTCGTTCCCTACTCAGGGAACCATGGTTACATAAGTAACCTGAGACGTTTTCCCTGTATTTTTGAACAAAATAAATTCAGCCTTGGTGAGCATAAAAGACTTCAAAGCATATCTTACTGACCTCAACCTTGTGAACGGTAGTAAATGTATAATATAAGAGGTCAAAATCCATTAATGTAGAGCACAACCAACATTCAAACATTCAGTTCTGAATGTATAAAGCATAATTCTGAGACAACTGGCTGGTTCTGATAGAAATGAAATGAGCACAGGAACATTTCCCGCTGCGGGCGACACGGTGAATCTCTTATAAGGCGTTGGGGAGGTGAGAGGAGATCTCTGAGGTCTTCTCAGAGCTTCTGAAGGTCATGACAGAATGTTACTGATTAAAAACAGAGATGCAGGCAAATTAAGTTCAGTGTTATAATGATATTTCATGTGGGAAAGTATTTATGCTCAGTCCTTGGTAATCAAATACTGTTATAGTGCTATGGTCACATTCATAAGGTTTTTGGTGATTTCTAGCAAGTGAACAATCTGGAGCTGAACTGTGAGATGATCTAATTAAGCATGACACTGCAGTGTCTGAGCTGAGGTTGAATCCTCCATCTTGTACTATGACGGAATAAATGCCAAACATTCTGCAAGTACAAGACTCTAAACTTTGGAAGTACACTACCGTTCAAAGGTTTAGGAGTCGGTAAGATTCTTATGCTTACCAAGGCTGCCTTTTTCTTTTATGAAAATACATTAATAATATTTCATAATCTTGCTGGTTTTTTTTTAGTTTAACATAACTGTTGAATTTTAATTCCCTGTGATGCAAAGCTGAATGTTCAGCAGCCATTACTCCAGTCTTCAGTGTCACATGATCCTTCAGAAATCATTTTAATATGCTGATTGGGTGCTTATTTCTTATTATCAGTGCTGAAAACAGTTGTGCTGCTTAATGCTTTTGTGGAAACGGGCAACTTTTGCTTTTGATACTTTGGTAAAAAGAAAGTTCAGAAGAACAGCATTTATTTGAAGTGGACATTTTGTAACAATGTAGAATCCATTACTGTCACTTTTGATTTACATTAATTTCTTTAAAAAAAAATCTTACTGAACCCAATCTTTTGAACGGTAGCATATGTTTACGTACACAAAGATCGATTTCAGTCTGACTAAAGCAATAATTTGTCTTTTTAAAATGCACATAAATGCTGACTGAAATAGAACCAGTCTGGTTTCAGCAAAGTCGCACTAACAGACTCGGATGTAATTGTAGCTTGATTTCGTCCAGCATGAATACATGTTAAAGGGATAGTTCACCCACCCATCGTTGTGGTACTGTCGTGAACGCACATCAATTTCTGAAACAGAAGAGAAGAAATAGTTGAATAAAGTTATTTTTGTTTTCTTTGTGCACAAAAAGTGTTCTCGTAGATTTATAACATTACGGTTGAACCACTGATGTCACATGGACCATTTTAAAGATGTCCTTACTACCTTTCTGGGCCTTGAATGTGCAAGTTGCGTTGCTGTCTATGCAGGGTAAGAAAGCTCTCGGATTTCATCAAAAATATCTTAATTTGTGTTCTGAAGATGACGAATGCCTTACTGGTTTGGAACGACATGAGGGTGAGTAATTAATGACAGAATTTCATTTTTGGGTGAACTATCTCTTTAATCAGACTGCAATTGGCCTTGGCCTTGTGTATTTAATCCTTCAAATATCTGTGTACACATTTCATTATGCATTCTTAGATAAAGATTGTAGCTTGACAATGCAAAAAACTTGATTATAACTGGGCATGTAAACGTACTGTACTTTATGACTCTGGATGGAAGGCCGTTGGTTGAACCTTTTAAGACTCACTGTGTTGGCACAAAATCAGAACAGGGATGGTGATAAAGGCTATTCAGTGCACTAACAAAATCTCCTCATCCTCTTCCTCGCTAGTTGTGAGTCTGCAAAGCCTGACACTGTCACCAGGAACCTCTTCTGTTACTGAAGGTTTCCTGGCGTGTCCATGAGCATCTGTGAGCGAGTCTGTGTGTGCGTCCATATGTGGTTTTCTGAATGCAGGAAAGCTTCTCTGCTCCTCAGACTGACCGCTGGAGGACGTCGGTGACTCAGGGGAGGAAAGTGGCGAGATGCCCATAGAGGTGTACCTTAAGAATGAGACTCCTCTGAGCTCTGCAGCCAGTTCCTGCACCAGCCGTCTGGAGGACCTCAACCGGCTTGTGCTGCGTTTGGGGCTATCGGGGGGTCCAGGAGGACTGTCATCATCTTTATGTTTCAGGGAAATGCCCTGTTTGGATCTCATCCTGATCCCCTCTAAACTTCTGTCATCTTCATCATCTTCGTCCTCCAGGGTGTCAGAGGTGGAGCGGGTTGAGTTGGGGGAGGGCAGGGAGAGAGGAGAGGATGGAGACTCTCTGTCAGGAAGGCAGAGGGCCTCAGTGTGAGCCTGCAGGGCCAGTCCCAGTGCCACCGTCGAACAGGATGGCGGAGTGTGTCCCGCACTCTCACGTGACTCCTCGATGCCATCGTCCGTTGTGTTGTAGCTGTGAAGGCTCAGATCGGGGTGTGTGTTTGTGTGCGTGTGGCCTGGAGGCGTGAGGAGAGGTATCTGACCCCGTAACCGAGAGCCACGATGGAACAGGCGATTCCACAGACGACCTAGTCGCCGCCGTGATGAGGAACGACGAGAAGAGTGACGACGAATCTGCCTCCGCATAGCTGAGCGGAGATTCTGCAGAACAGATGCCTGGGAGAGATAGAAAAAAAACAGACTTTATGAAAAAAGTGGTCCAGTCACATACAAAATCCTGTCATTTCAATAGGAATTGGGAATTTTCTCATCAGGGCGAAAAAGTTGCCCATAGAGATTTTGCTTGTTTTCAAGTTGTTCACATAAATTCACTGCATTGACCAATAGAAAGTTGTTGTTTTTTTTAAAGTGACTTCTGTGTGAGCAGTGCTACGTGCATTACTACACTATTAACAATGGAAAACATCTGTTTTTGCCCTCAATTTTGCTGAATTTTCGCTAATGTGACCGCAGTTTAAAGGGATATTCCACCCCAAAATGAAAATGACATTCGTCTTCGGAAAAGACAATTTAAGATATTTTGGATGAAAACCGGGAGGCTTGTGACTGTCAATTGACTGCCAAGTAAATTACACTGTCAAGGTCCAGAAAAGTATGAAAGACATCGTCACAATAGTCCATCTGCCATCAGTGGTTCAATCTGAATTTTATGAAGCGACTTTATTCAACAATTCGTCTCCTCTGTGTCTCTCTGCATCACCGTAGCAGCATTTTGGAGAATATCCGCTGAACGCAAGCAGCGTATGCTCTTCTGTGTCAGCCGCGACACAAGGATACGTTTTCTACGTGTATTTACGCTTTGATCTGAACGAAAACAGCGCATCCCTGTGGCGCGGCTGACACAGAAGAGCGTACGCTGCTTGCGTTCAGCACATATCAATCGGACAGTCACAAGTAGGGCTGGACAATAATTCAATATCAATATGTATCGCGATATAATTTTTTTCAATAACGGTGATATGATTTTTAAACACATTTCCGATATTTCGATATACATTAC